ACACTGAGAAACCCAATATCACTCAATCTGATTGCTTTCATGCATTATCTCCCAGCTTTGGCCTGGAGGGCTGGCCAAGCAATGGCTAAAGGTAGTGAGTTGCGGAAACGAAAACAGTGACACATGCACAGAACGCCGCGATATCAACCACAATGTCCACCCGAAACTGGTATATTTATGGTCGGCAACCTCAAATTTGTGGGCAGAAGTGGTGTAGTGGAAGTGGCGCTACTTGCCACGCACGCGGTCCGGGTTTTGAATCCAGGTCATGCGCCGTTCGAGCCAACCAGCCTTCGATCCCCCTGGGCTCGGTTGATTGGTTACCGACTTACCTGAGAGGGATAACAAACCGACTTGTACATAGGCTGCCCCCTCCCCCCAGTCATTAGTACAGGCGAAATCGCATTCAAGTGCCACTACGAACGTTCAAGTGGAAGTAGAATTTGCGCCTCATCCCAAAAAGGTGATCAACGGGCAAAATGCCTTTTTACCTTTTAGCCTCAAGGTTAACGTGTGACTCGTCCTGCTCTCTTTACGGTCCTTGCCGACGAAGCTTAGGTCGTCAAGCTGCGCGCAATAAATGTCGTTTGAGCCACCAAAGTGCCTTCAATTACGGCGTAAGATAAACGGTCGAGAGAATTCTCGACCACTTACGGTGGGGTTAGAATATGTCGAAGTGAATGGACGACGGAAGCACAGAAGGCTCGCGCGTGGCGAGAGTGAATGTACGCGCGGGAGAGCGTGGCGCACAGACGAAAATCCCGACGACTATTCGACGAATCCCCGGCCGATTTTCGCATCGCTCCAAGGTATTACCCTATTTATGAACTAAAAGTGGAGAGAATTGATCCGTCTATTCCGACTGAAGGTACGCGATGAACAGAAGTTGGACAACTTTGTTTTCCTCTCTCAATTATATTTATATTCATGAAAGGAAATTTATAACGCTTATTTCCAACCACAAACTTTACGTTACTCGACGATTTGATAAAGTTCTTTTCTTCGCCCAGTTCCCCCACCCCTTAATTCTTCATTCCCCTCACCCTCATTGAAATTAATTTCCCTTGTTCTCCCCTCCTTTGAATAACATTATATTTCATGTGAAGTTTGTGAAAAAAACTATTTAGAAATCGAGTAGTGCGGGCCACTTCTTCTAGTCCCGCCTGGGGCGAAAGTTTTGTTCACAACCCAGCATTCTTGTGAAACATTCGCAACGCGAACTGCGGCGTTAAAACAGCAGTTAACAAACAAAACAAGTCAAAATTATTTATAAATTTCAATTAGAAGCTCTGACAGAATCGAACTCTCAACAGATTTTTCTACTGAAACTTCGAAATGCGACATCATTCGGACACGTGAGAAAATCTCGTAATCTTCTCATCGAATTATCTTTGTTTTTCAACGGATTGAAGACAATCTACTACCGATTCCACAGCGGCTGTCAGATGGCAAAGAGATCGGAGCACGATCGATTTCCATTTTTTTTAGCTAGGAAGGGACTAGTTAAGAGTGGGAATGAGAGAATAACCAACAAGCTCACAGATCTACTTTATCTCGCACCAAAAAAACTCACACTTTTCACTGTTTAAATATTTATTCATTTATTTTTTATTTTGTTATTTGTTTATTTATGCGCTCAAAATGACGCACTCTTACACACAGGGTAGGAAAGGTGACCACTGAATCATCACTAAATAAACACTAAATAAACAAACAAACAAGGGGTAAAATCAAAAGATCCCCACCCCGCCAGGAGCTCTCACGCGTGCGCCACGAGTGAAGGAGAAGACAAAAAATATAACAGAGGTATTCCACAATTAACTACCCTCCCATCATATTCCGCCAATACCCCCAACTTCCCAAGTGGTGTTCCCGTTTTCCGTGGCCGGCACCACCTTGCGATGGTTTTTGAAAACAGTGCTAGCCGGTAGCGTTCGTATATGAAACCGTTGAAAGGCTGATATATTCAAATTTTCTCAGAGTTTGGTGAGATTTCTTGTCTCAGAAAATTTTTGTTACCGTGACTTTCAGGGGCAGAAACGATGTCATTTACCCAAATACACCCCCTCCCTCTCCCCAATGTATTTCACTCGGTCTACCGGAAAAATTGACACTACTCCTTCATGAATAAAAGGTCGTATGTGTCTGAGATAGTGAGCGCCTCAAGAGCTTTCCTGTTGATTTCCTGATAATTTCGGACGAAAATACTAACAGGAAAGGTCTTTGGTAGCGAATTTGGACTTCCAAGGGTGGCGCATTCAGGATCCCAAGGTAATCAGAGTCCTCTAGAAAAGCTTTCTAGTTGAAGGTACCCCTTCACACAACTTGGTGAAAGCAACTTTTGGATTACTACTACAGCAATTAATAGAGACGAATAAAAATTTATTCAACTTTGAGCCTGTGTTCAAGGTTCCCAACCGACGTCGATTATTCCTGACGCCGGAGAGGGTTCTCTTTTGTTCTAGGGGAAGGGGATGCCGTTGACGGTTTACTCCTCCTCAGAGAATTACATTTTCAAAAAACATGAGAACTAAAATTTTGCCGTTTCAACAGCTGTATATGTTCAACTAGCCACTACATTGCCTGATTGGTAGGATATACTGGGTGTTGAAGAAGGGAGAATATGTTCAGGGTCTAATATGAGTCGACGAGGCGCAGTGGTAGATGCCGCCACTTCCCAAGCACGTGGTCCGTTGTTCGAAACCCATATTGGATCTCGCCAGGGCAACGTGCCTTCTACTCCTCCCAGGTCGGTTAATTAACCCTACAATATCTGGGAGAATAAAAGCCCTGATTAGTACATCGGCCAACCCCCGCAAGTCACTTTTGAGCCATATCACATTCACACAAATGCCAATGTGATTCTGAATGGAAGTAGAATGCGTGGCGCATACTAAAATAAAGCTGAGAGCTTTATCCTGTATGCTTCATAAAAGAAGGTCGGGCGGCGCTTCTGCTGTTGGAGGTAGGGGACATTCAAGTGAGTCACTTACAGTACTTGGGACTAACCATAAACTGGTAGGGAAGAATTTCTGGGAGAGAATGTGAGCAATTTTTGCTCTCCCTGGCCCGGTTTCGAATATACCTTCTAAGGCCATGGGCGCCATATGGGAAGAAGAGACGCTTTCGCGGCGACCTAATGGAGCGTTCATAGTTGGCGATCGTACGTGCGATCAGGCGATTAGGCGATCGCCCAAAGGGCGGAGCAACAAATCAATACGTACCCTCCTCTTATCGCCTAATCGCCTAATCGTTTCGTATACTTTTCACTTTGAATCATCGCTAATCGCACGTGCGATTGCCAACTATGAACGCTCCAACAATGCTTCACCCAGGCAAGTGCGGCCTTTGTAGGGGCAATCACCCCATGATAGAAGCGCATCGCTTTTCATTTCAGAAGAGCGTTTCACTACAAGCGGTCGATATTCACTTGCCTACCTATGTAATGCCATACAACCAAATCATTTTCGCCTGGAATGATGCATTATCAACGCGTCCAAGACATTACTTTCTCTAGCGCTCATCTAAAGCGGCATATCGATATGCGAGAATAGTCCTGCTTAATGATAAAAGCCATTTTTTGTTTTTCTCTTCAATACCGCCCAGTTTACATTCCCTGATTCCACTTCTAACGGAGACCAAGTCACTGTATTATCCGCCTCCGACTTGGGGTCCAGTTGAGCACGAGAAATGCGCGCATGTAAACGGTTTAACTATTTGAAGTGGGATACCCTTTCATCCAGGATGCTCAAACACTTCACACTGTACCTGGTTTCAATACAAATATGAAATTGCCTGGGAAGTGCGGAGTTCACTGAATCTCAGAGCCATCTTCAGATGGGTGAAGAGCTGTGTTTCTAGTAGAAGCTGGAAAGGAGCCAATCAGCGAGAGGCAGCAATTTATTCGGCATCTGGGTCTTCTACAGCTCCGTCGAAAGCTGGTCCCTAAAACTGACCAATAACTATGTTACGCGGTTGCAAAGTCGTTGCAGCGAGCAAATTTCAACCTCCTTCCACCTTCCATCCCTTATCACATGAAATGTGGTATCCTCTTCCATAATCGGAAATTTCCAGGCGCTAGAATACTATCGTTTGAGGGGGCCGGGGGGACAGTGATGCAGTAATGCTGCGCTATTGCGCTAGGAACTAAGCCTTGGAGAAGATAGGAAATGGGTGGGGCGGGGGGGGGAGATTGCAATTTTATACTTCTCGGCATTTTGGCCTCGTGAGCTCAGTTACAGTGTCACCTACCAATAGGACGTATGTTTGATATTGCGCGAACGCCTCCTAAAGCATACGAGCGCCGAAAATTCCTTATAAATCATCACAAGAGGCTCATGTCCTGGGGGGGGGGGACATTGAAGTGAGCGGGCCACTCACAGAACTTGGGCTAAGCCTTACGGATGGGAAAGGATCCTGGGTGAGGATGTGGGCAACCATTGTTCTCTCTGGTGTTTATTCCCAATCATACGCTTAGTCCTAGTATCACCTAGCAGCGGTTTTTGAATGCCCTGTTTTGAATGTCCCCCTAAGACATGAGCGCCTCATCACAGAGCCTCATAATTTGGGAACATAACTTGTCGTTAATGGTGAAATTGAGCTATACTGCTTGCCTCTCATTTAGATGATGCTCTTTTTAAGTACAAATCTGGTTTCAAAAAAACTTCACCAGTCATACAAAACTGTTCTTTCGACAACTAACAGTACACAAATGAAAGCATGAATGTACAAGATTTCAAGCATTTCACAAAACAAAAACTCTACTACCATGAGAATTCGGAAGAGGGAGGCCGCTAACGGTGAGTAGGCGTGTAAGGATAAGAAACACTTCAAGATCCTTATCACAGACGAATATTGTGATAGTGCGAGAAATGCACATGCAAATATTCAGACAATACACAGCAGTAATGATTTGAGGAAGGCTGGATAGACTGACATGATAAAATAGAGTGGATAAGTTCACGGATCGTGGATAAACAGAATGAGTGGCCGGGAAGAGATTAGCTTTCAGATAAATCCGCAACTCTTGAGGTATGAGCAACATTGGTTCTCTTTCCAATCTTTTGGAGTATGACAGAGCCTAAACATTCAAATATAGAAATTATGCGTTCGTCGTCATAAACGCTACCTTCAGCAAATACCTAATTCATGTGTAGAGGCTTTAGGATATAATATCTACGAGTGGCACGCAGCAGAATATTCAGTGACAATGAGTTGCTTGGACTTTGCATTTTCCGAAGAGTTGTTAGATTCCTTGTTTTTACGATTTAATTTTTTACGTTGGATTATTTCTGTTTAAAGGAAGCGATTACGATAGATCTCAAAGGGGTTTAGAGGGGACGTGGGGGTCTCAATAGTACGCCAATGGCGAAAAAAGCAAAGAAATCCGTCGAAAATAAGCAAAATGGTACCCCTTTGATTGCCCTTTCATTTTCGACCATGGATGAGCGACGGTAAAGAACGACGTTGTTCGGACGTGTTAACCCCGATAGCCGCCATCATGCCAACAAGCATAGTGTTCTGATTGATAAGGCAATACGCTCTCTCCCCCCGCCCCGTGGGCAAGTTGGAAGATACAGCCGCTAGAAGGGAAATGATCATCCAAAATGAAAAGCCAACAGCAAACAGTCCATCCAGATCATCAACAAAACTAGTGGGCGTCACGTCACTGGGGGCGGAGCGTCACACGGGTCCTGCTCAGCAACCACAGCACCTTTCGCCGTGGGAGGACCACACATCGCTTCCTTGGCAGCCAAGTAATTGCTCCGTGTGGCACAGGTTCTCCCTGATGCAAAAATTCCTTATCGTAATCGCTTCCTTTAAAGGAATCCTTCGCGGAAAATTCTTGCATTCTTTCTCAACATGAATGTATCAGTTGTGATCACTAGATGCAATACACAAAGTTTTACGCATGAAGGTTCGGTTTCCGAAGAGAAACAAACTCACGAAAATCCATTCTATGGACATCGAAGGTAATTCGGGCGGAGCCAAAGGCGGGGCATGGAATAAGTCCGCACTGGGGCGCCTACGTATCAGGCGACGCAATGAAAGAATCGGGTTAAAGCAACAGTCCAGGCAGGGTTTCAACTACTTGGTCATTAGGCGGTCAAAACATGCCCCAGCCCAACTAAAGTTTATAGGAAATGTCTTTAATTTCAAAACCTACCTCTAAAATGCGCTGGAAGGGGTCGAAGTCCTCTTGGAGGGGCGGATCACCTCATACCGAGGCGGATCGCTCAACATACGCTGTGCAGAGTCCGTGCTTGACTAGCGGTCGTTGCGGGACCGCCGCGCTGTATGAGGTCGATTCCATAAGAACGCAATTGAAGCGCTTCAATTTCGATTGCTGGCAAATAGTTATGTATTTGCAAGCATGCATGGCTATTTGCCAGCAGTTGCAATTGGAGCGCATGTACTACGGGCAGGTTCGGACAACTCGTCCAACACACGTATTCCCCAATCGTTAAACGGCAGAGGGCATGTCCCTGTCTAAGCCCCAGTTGGGCGTTTTCTTCACTTTTTCTCTTTACGTTCGACCACTTTTCACCTACAACTTCCATATAGGTGCTTTTGGCCCGCAAATTCGTTCCTGGACTGTTGCTTTAAAAGAAGTGCGAGTGGTGGAGTAGAGACAATAACGATGCATAGGAAGGAGTTAGAAGTGCGAGATGTTTAGCAAGAAGTCAACAGAAAGAGTTCTAGGATGGCACACCAAGAGCCAAGTGGAAGCATGCCCGTCGCCAGCATTTGTGACAGATGTGCGGCGGTACTTCGAACGGTTAGAGCCCTTCCGGATTTTCGAATTTTTTACCAGAACGAGCACAAATTTTCTGTTCTTTCCATTTTCATCCGGGATGATGGGTCTCAAGCCAGTGAATTATGGCTGACATTGAATCATGGTTTGTTCTGTTGAGGGATTTCTTGTAGAGGGAAGCCGAGAATAAGTATGTGTCTTACACACATGATTCAGATGATTCTCGCAACCTTGATTTTCTCGATTATTTGTTTCTTGAATTTGTGCTACTGAAAACCAGAGCACCTTTTATGATGAACAAAACAAACAAGAAATACAGTAGGTCAGGAGGTCCTTTGGTGATGTTCATAAAGGATACTGCTGTAGACACAAAGTTACCCTAGGTGAATATGCTGTTTGCATCCCTAACTTATACTATTGGGTGCGCTTGCAAGTGAAAGAGGGCTCAATTGAGAAAGATTAATCCTGCAAATATGTTACGATAAGAACTTCCTTCATTGTTGCTTGTACTTTATTTATGTTCTGATGTCACGTAGGTAATGATTACATGTTGTTTTGGAAATATCCACGAAATGAACGAGCAAATAAAACTACCCACCTTCTCTGATCAAATTCATGTTTTTCTCGTACTCGCTCATGACGCCATCCATTAGGCACTCCCTTTCTCGTAGTTTCTCAATTTTGGCCGAAATTCGAAAAACATTCTCTTGTTGTAACTCGTTTTTGTGATTTTCCAATGCGGAAATTTCTGGAATGGTCTAGAATTGGACTACTGGTTTGAACAGGAAACAGCACATTCTATGTATCGGAGAACTTTTTTGAGCAGACGGTCGCATTGAAACCGGATTCCGTTAAAGCAATGGAAGTGGTCAAGTGTTTATTCATTTCTGTCTGACCTCTTTAGCCACTCTCCCAAAAGGTTGCATATGGGAGGCCTGATCGTGAGAGGCGACCACTGAGCATTACCTATTTATCGAGATCACCTACAGTAGCGGTCAAAAGTGTTCGCCTAGACAATTTTTCTTCTTCTCCCTAGTCCCGCGCAGTTGCAGGGCCCGCTGTCCTCATTAGTCGTCACCACTTTGTCCTGTCCATCTTCTGCTGTGGCCATGACTTCACCTGGGTCCTTCGATAACGTCCCTCCACTTTCGACCCTGCCGAGGCTTGAACCATGCCCTGCAGAATTGCAAAAATGGTTCCAGTACCAGCGTCAGGCCCAGGTTGACAGGCCGGCTGATGAATACCCCAGTCACACAAACCATGTCTAAAAGTTTGCCAAAACGATTTTCACTGCCGTCCAAGATTAAGCGGTCAAGTCACATTTGTTTTTGACTTTTTCAGGCTCTGACGAAGGCGAAGAAGCCGAAACGTTAGCCTAATAAAGTTACCTAATCTTGGACGGCTACAGTCAAGTACTCATCTGATCCAACAATGCCAAGATTAAAAGAAAGTCGATCCTGGACGATTTTCACTGCATTACTTTTCTCGCTTGAGCAACGCCCTCCAAAGATTGATATACTATGTTTTCTAGTGTTTTTATATCCTCAAGTCTTAAAGAATCAGGATATTCAAAAGAAAAAATTTTCGAGGTCACCATTGATTTTTTCTGGCAAAAAAAGAAGCACGAAAAACCGTTTCGGCGAACACTTTTGACCGCTACTGTATTTTCATAAGAGTAATTCGGCGCTCATGTCGTTGGGGAAGGGGGGGGGGACAGGGGACATTCAAATGAGTGAGCCAATTACTGTACTTGGGAATAATTCTGGGGGAGATGTGAACAATTTGTGTTCTTCTTGGCGTTCCTATCAACTTCTGAGCTTAGTCCTAGTGTCACTTACCATCGGCCTATTTTGAACGTCCCCGTCAAGGAAATGAGCAATAAGACCCTTCAAGAAATAGCCAAAATCGTGCCGCTCTACTCCTGAGTCAGTGGTGTTATCCGCGGCTGGGACAGGTTCATAGGTGTAGCCGAGTAAGGCCGATTTCAGACTTTGCGAATCGCGCGATTCGCAAAGTCTGACATCGGCCTAAGGTTGTAGGCGCGCAATGGTATTTTCCAACGAAAAGCTCATCATTTTTCCTAATAGGGGGAATAAGGCCAAAAAATGCTCGAATACTGCCGTACTAAAATAGCCCTAAGAAAGCAAGATGACATTTTATTGGTTCCCATGAGTAGAAGACAAAAATCCTATGTTTTCAAGAGAGCGCAGAGCGACGTCGGGAAAACATCGAAAATTAAAAGAATTTCGATACTCAATGAGAGATCTAGCCGCTAACAGCAGCCCCTTCGGACCAGTCAATAAAGTGCCGAATATACGCGGCATGGATTAACACGCTAACGACAACGTGCGTTTTGGCTTTTTTTGGCAGCGTGGGACCGGCGCGATTTTGCGAGCGCGGCCGCATCAGGTCATTCAAGCGGAGTTTGGTGGGAAATACACAAAACATCGGTGTGTGGCAAAAATAAGATCGAGTAATGTTTATGAGAGTAACGAGAAGCCCCCTACGAGAATATAGTAGTCGGATTTTCGATCTGAAGATGTGAAATGGACGATGGAAAGGGCAGCTGCAACAAACCTCAAAACAATTCTACCTGCGATCGTGCTGGTCAATCAAGAAACATACTATGTGGTCACCTTATCGTTAGTGTACGTGATTTACTCCTTATGACTACTATCTTCATCACTGACGAAGAAAAATGGAATACGAAATTAATCAAACTGGAGATTTTGCTCGAGATGTCAGAAATCCCCTCTAAATCAGAGAATACACTCGTGATCTTCTAATGGGCCACTACAGTTTTGTGGCAGAGTTAGGGATCTTCTTTGAAGATAAAACACAATACAGACTTCAAAAAGAGTCCACGCGTGCGACGGATGTAATGAGATGCAGAGTTACATACGTCGCGTGTCGGTCATGGCCTGCAAAGTGCGGGACGTATGTGTCGGAGTGAGGGAGTCCGCTGGTATTTTTGTCGATCGTCAGCGCTTCAGGTCACTCAAATGCAAAACTTTTGTGGCACGTGAGGACCCAGGATTTCTTAAGGCGCTCATGCTTATACCGGTATGCTACATGACTTGATAGGCAACTCCTCTGCACAAGGCTGATGTATAGTTGGCGATTCGATGACATGCTCTATTCGCCATTAACAACGGACATCGAACCCAGGACGATATTACAGGAGGGGGGGGGCGCAAGAAAAAGACATTTTGCCATATGTCGGGCTTTTCGCGCCCTTTTTTCTTCACAGAGATTGCCGGCAGGTATGACGGGAGTTCCTTAGCAGAGTATTCCCTAAGTGTCCCTCTATAAGTGAACGCAGGCCCTCCTTCACTGCCCTCACCGTCTTCAGAATATGACGTCATCTGTCACCGTCGTCAGGCTCAAGGAGGTCTACCGTAAGAGCTTCAGCCTGAAGCTCTTACGCAATTTCGTGAATCGATTTAATGTTGGATAGTTTTCTAGAGGCGTTAGCTCCCACTATACAAATCCCCTCGAAACGAGCTTTCCAGTAAAGGTCGTTATGGTACAGAATCCTTCGAAGACCCCATTGAGCTCGACCAGTGCACCATGTTTCCAGGGCAAATTCTTCTGTTGCCGTCCACGTGGGTGGCCAACATGAAGATTTTCTTATAGAATGAAATGTGCTCTTCAATATTAAGTTGGGAACACTCGGTCTCAATTGAGCAAAGTGTGCTTAAATCCATCTGAAAGTGGAGACAAAATGTCTTTTTTATTGCCCCCCCTGTATATTTTCGAAACCCAGGGCTAGCGAGGATCTTCAAAGAAGGGATTGAAGAGACGCCATAAAGCCCTAAAGGCAGGAAACCGACACTGTAATGATATGGGGGGGGGCAGTTTAAGTGCTGGGACAGCTGGAACATGAGCGAACGTATAACGAGATGCAGAACCTCGTGACGAACGACGAACTAGATGCTAGATGGTAGAAGAAGAAAGAAAAATCAAAAAGGTTGCAGAAAAAATCGTACCTCTTTCCTTCTCTTTCATTTGGATCTTGCGATTATCTACTGCTGCACGCATCGAGTCGATAGGAGCTGGAACGAATTGTATCTCAACAAGGAACAAGTACATCTATTCCACTTAAGATTCTAAGCATTTCAAGCAAAAAATTTCAGGATCAAAAGAGACGCACTTTTTATCCTATTTGGCAGATTCTGGAGACGGCAACTGACTTTTCTCGCATCGCTTTGACTAAAATGTTGTAGTTCAAAAGCTTATTCATAGTACCATATGTAATAACGCTAAATAGAAAATATACGATACATCGTAGAAAATAGTGCAGTCCTCCTCTCAGAGTTCCTCATCAGAGTCTCCATACAAATCTAAAAAAAAATGATGAAAAGTGAAGAGGAATATCTCACTGACAACTAAAAATCACAGAAGTCACCTCCACGTCCTGTAAAACTCCATCAAACTCGTCACTTGTCGTGCTGGCTGGCATGATCGATGATGGCATCTCTTGTATCGAATAGGAAAACGAATGCATTCTGAAAAATACTAACTTAGTGCTTGACTTGTTGAAGCAAGACTAAACCTGACGGAACATGTTTTTCGAGAATAATTTCGCCAGTACGTTCAATATAGGCTTTTAATGCAAATGGTAAAAGCGCATGCATAGCCGTTCGATCGTAACGATAGTAACGATCGCACAGTATTGGATACGTATCGATTGCTCAGGAGTAAGCCTTGAGGGGACTCCGCGGCACGCTAGCAATCCCTTACTCTCCGAAATTTTTCCCACTGCGTTAGCTAGTCTAATGGCCTTTCTAAGGACCGCCCCCTCCCCCCCCCCTCTAAAGGCATATACGCCTTGAACTACCAGTTAACAACTACCAGGTTGGTCCCCGGCAACCAACGAAACCTCCCTTCCCTGCGGAGCTTGGCGTTCCTCCTCCTCCATCCTCCCCTCCCCCACTGCTCTCCAGCTGCCACTGCAGCACCTTGTGAAATGGCAAAAGTGTACCAAATAGGTGTTTAAGTAGCCGTCGTGCTCCATGAGCTTCCATTAGCTGCCTTGTCGCTCATTTCATGTTGCGGAAAGACAGAACGACATACACGCGGACATAAACACCGACAGACCGACACACCAAAGTTGTGGTTTATATAATGAAGTGATAGCGTCATATTCTGCTTAGGTAATGTCAAAAACATTTCTGTGGAGAAAGATAGTTAAGGAGCGAGCACTATAAAAGTGTAATCGGCTGTGATAGCTTACCTAAGGAATTTATTACCCAATCTTTTTACTCCTAACCTTACCCACTTACCACCCCATTGACGATTGTACTCCTTTCCGAAAGCTTAGCACAATAATACATCCACTTAGAAAGCAGTCAAAAACT